ACACTGCCTTTCTCCGAGGCATGGGCTGCTGGGTCTGCCATCCTCGTATTTACCTCTGTCCTTGGTACTTGGTTCACCAGCTAGGAGAAGTGCTGGCCAATTAGATAAGGACTTAAGTAGTAGTTGTGTCTGTCAGGTTTTCTCTCCCCCATCGTCCAGAGCATCCCCCTTACAGCTTCATCTGTTGGGTGTTCGTGGGAATGGCAGGTGATTTGATTGACTTCCTCATCTTGGGAAATGACCCATCAGCCTTGGGTCCACCAGGTGACATGTCACCCAGAGGTTTGGTTAAAGGCCTGCTCCTCCCCCCATCATGAGGAAGCTGGGTGGGTCCCACGTGCTGGGTGCAGCTTGGAAGCTCTGGGTTTTCCGGAAGTTACAGAGCCGTCTGTGCTTCTGTGTGCAGTCTGAGCTGGGTTCTAACCCCAGCCACTGCCCTGCCCACTCAGTGGCCACCCCCCCTTCAGGGCCCTGGCAGGTAGTGAGTGGGTGGGCAGAGGCACCCTCGCAGCCATCGATGCCTCGTCCTTCCTCTTTGAAGGATCTGATGCTGCTGCCGATGAGGGCTACTTCATCTATTAAACCCAATACACTTGTCGCAGCTGCTAAGCCCCCATAAGCCGCCGGGCGCCGTGTTTGTGATGGGACTGACAGTGCATGGAGGAGGCTGATTATACACGATTCCATTTCGCGGGCCCAGCAATGTAATTTCACAGGGCGATCAGCGTTTGCATGTAATAGCAGGCTGTGCTGAGGTGTCAGAATATTAAAGGCGCTAATGGCAAAGCTCCCTGTTACACAGGGGGCCACCCGCCGCGCCTACAGCAGGGCTGCACGGCAGGCCCGTCGCAGATGGCTGGCCACTAAGCTAATGGGGCAGCAGCCAAGGCGGGCAGAGCCGCGAGAGAGAAGAGCCAGCCGGGAGCAGCTCGGCACCTGCTTCCCCGCGCATGGAAATTACAGCAGCCCAGGGGACGGGAAGTGTGTGTGCCTGCCTGGCACAGGGCTGCGGTGGGGTGGTTTGGTAGACCCAGCATCTTTCACCCCAGCTCCACCTGCCCCACTCTTTGGCCAGGAAGCCACAGCTGGGCAGGTGGGTCCTGGTGGCCAGGAGAGGGGCAGCTGGGGAAGTGGCACCCCAAGAATTTGGAACCAGTATGGAAAAGGGGCTCAGGCACAGGCTCTTGGTGAGAGCTCTTAAAACATTTTCCCACCCCTTACTGACTGAGGTCAGAAAACTCCTAGGTCCTTGCAGGCTGGCAGGAGAGAAGGAGGGAGCAGGGAAAAGGAGCAGGTGGAAAAAAGAAGATGGACAAGTAATAAGGTCCCTTGATTGATGCCAGTGTTGCCATTGGAACACAGAGCTGGGAGACAGCACCTGAAGATGGGGCTGGCTGCCCCAGCCACACCCAAGCCCTGGTCTGTGCTCTCACCAGGCCTGCTCCTGCCATTCTCCTTTGTCCTTGCTGTGTCTCCTGCCTGGAGTGCTGTCAAACCCCCGCCCAGCCCTCCACTACCACTCCCTCCAGGAAGTTTTCCTAGCTGCTTCCAACCCCACACAGGCCTGCTTCTCTGCAGTGCCCCTGGGGCAGCCGCAGGGGATGGCCTCCCTGATTCTCCTGTTCTGCTGGTCCCCTAGGTCCCAGCCTTGGCTTCTCAGCCAGAATCTCCGAGACACAACCCACATCACCTTGTCCTGAGTGGGGCTCCTGGGCAGGCTCTGCTCAGATTCACAGATGGACGTAATCTCGGGGAGGATGTCTGGAGGGAGTGGGGAGTGGAAGGATGCACCGAGTAACCCAAGGGAGAGTTTGGTGCCTGTGCGGTGTGCGCACTTGATGGTGTATGTATCTGGCAGGGAGGGACTTCAGAAGTGAGTGCTGGGGGTGGTGGGCGTGTGGGTACAGGTGTAGAAGGGTAGCAGGTGTGAGGATCCAGACCACACACAAGTAGGAACACAGATTGCTGTAGGGCCCTGTGTTCTCTGGGTGGCTTTCTGCATCTGCTGGCTGTGGCTGAGGGGTACCTCAGATGGCAGGAGTTGGAGGGAGCTTGTGAGACTGTGCCCTGGGACTGTACCTGTGGGGGTTCCTTGAGGCTGGTGGTCACTTCTGAAGGTTCAGCTCTGCAGGGTGTGTGACAGTACCTGGGGGAGACGTGCCAGGGTTCTCAGCAGGGGCAGCAGCGGGGAGAGCCCAGGCTGAAGGAGAGCAGTTTTAATTAACCGTTTTTAATATCATTTTGGACTTTGGCTGGTATGTGAAGGCCCCGCTGGAAGCAGCATTTGTAAAAATTAAATCCCTCTTATTAGGATCTTGGCAGACCCATGTGCACGTGCTGCCCCCTGCCTCCCGCCTGTGCCCCCCTGAGGAAGTACTGCCTGAGGCCGTGTCACCGCAGCGGTTGGTTATCATGCCTTATCTGGGAGTATGAAACTGGGCGCATGACCCCGCGGCCACACTGGAGACGCCAATTCATCTCGGTCTCGCTCTGACAAGCTAGGCTGCCCTTCCTGAAAGGCATCCGTCAGGCGGGACTGGGGCCGCTGCCTCGCCTGCTACCTCTGCTTCCCTGCCTGGGTTTTCCGCTTGCCCTCGTCCAGCCAGGCTCAGCCCGGCCCGCCACCCCCCTTCCACATGTCCCAGTCTAGGGGAGATCTTGGGGAGTCATAATTACTATAATAATCTAATCACGGTGAGGTGTCGGGGCAAGCGTTATCTGAAGTGGTCTTCCCGCTGAGCTGCGATAAGACTTGGGGTGACGGGCAGATAACAGAGCTGCCCTGTCCCCAAGCCGCGAACAGCGCAGAGGGGCCTCCGCAGCCCGTTTGCCCGCCCGCCGCTTTAAGCCGGGAAGCGGCAGCACCTGCTAATGCAAGTGTTTAATATTTGATGGGCTGGGATAAAGCAGGATCACCTTCGAATTGAATTGAGTGTCAGCCGAGAATCTATTACTGAAATTCGGGTGTGATTTGACAGCAAAGTAGACGATGTTATTCTTCACTAGTTACTGCAATCTTCTCCCCGACATCACTTAAATATTTTTTTCTTTGCTTGAGTAAACACACATTATCCTTCTTTTTTCCCCCTTCCTTCCCTTTTTCCTTTTTAGAGGGGGAAAAAAACCCATCTAGCTCGCCTTTTCCAGGCTGATAGGGTAGATTGTTATTTCTTTATTTGTCCTATTAAATGGAATTTCTGATCGTTTAATCCGGCCTTTGTAAGTGATTTTAAAGTACTTGAAAGCCGGCCCGCCACTGCTCTCTGGCCCACTGTGCTCCAGCCATGGCCCTGACCAGGCTTAGCAGCTCATCCAGCTGTGCACCACCCACCGGCTACTTCCCTCGATGCCTGCCTTCCCCCAGCTCTGCCCTGGCCACAAGCCAGTGTTCTCTCCCCTGCCCTTGAGCCTCACACTCAGCCCCTGATTTGGAGGTCCAGCTGTTGCCTGGGAAAGTGTGGAAGGGTTGTCTGGGACGTTGAATTGTGGCTGGTACCTCTGTGGTCAAGGAAAGCGGCTCCGGAGGGTGCTCAGGTTGAAGGACTCTGAGGACCAGGGCTTGGTTCCCGCAGCTGGGAAGGAAGGGTACCAGCCCCTTGGCCTCAGCATGGACTCTGTGTCCAGCCTCCTGTCTTTGGTTTTTGACCCTGTGTTAGGCCCTCCTTGCTGTGAGGGAGCCTCTAGTGGGATGGGGACCTCCAGGCCGGGGCATGGGTGGGGACACTGCAGTGCCTGTCTGAATGTGGCTACAGTCCCCTTAGTTCGCCTCGTGGTCTCCACACTGAGCTTCTGGGAACTCCCCCAGGCTACACTCCTGTTGACCACATCCCATATGCTTCCTGCCACTGGGAGCAGGTTAGCCTGGGGTTCCAGGACTTAAAAGGTGAGGGGATGGGTAATGTCTGGAAGGCCAGCCAGCTACACAAGCCCCCTGGTAGAAGCCCAGGACTTCGCTAGCAGGTGGAGCAGGAATTCAGCTCACACTAGGCCACTTAATAGCATTCTAACCCTTTCAAGTCTCTTCTTTCTGGGCCTCAGTTTCCTCATCTGTGATGTCAAGTCTGTTGTGCCTGTAAGGGATTGTGAAAGGAAAGTGCCATCCCTCGTCCTGCCATGTACCGCCCCCCCCCCCACCATGGAGGTTGGTGGCGGCCAGGTGGCGCGAGCAGGGGATGGAGGGGGGCAATGAAGTGCTAGGGGCCTGAGCAGATCGATGCCCCCAGCACTTCCTTCCCCAACCCCAGGAAAACAATTAAGTACAGATCGATGCGTGGCCGCTTTGAATATGCATAAGTGAGCACTTGACCTTCAGCAGAGATCTGTTCCCCTTACCACACACACATTCTGGTGTGCACACACACGCACAAACACACACACACTCTCTCTTCATGTGTTCCCCTCACAGCTGCTTGAGTCGACCAGGTGACCTTAGCCCTCCTCTGTTGAGCCCACGCATGGCATTCAGCCTTCCACAGCCTGGCCTGCCTCTCGGTCTAAAGCAAACAGACCAAGGGCAGGTGGTCAGCCCCCTCCTGCTTCAGTTTTCCTATACAGAGTGCAGTTTGCATATGTTGGTCTCCAAGTACTTCCTGACACCAGGCTTTGTGACCGGCAGTACTGTGGGGAGGGGCCCAGCACAGTGCTGGGTACCCTAGGAGGGTTATCTAACAGGGCTGCCTGGTGAAAGGGGTGCCCTGATGATACGATGGTCCTGAGAAGGAGGGTCTTAGTAAATGGGAGCTCTCTAGAGGAGACTGGTAAGGGGGTATCCGTTGGGGGCTGGAGGTCTCTGATGGGGAGATGCCTAGGACAAAAGGACCTCTGAAAGAGGAAGGGATTTTCTGGTGGGGGCCCTGGTGGAAAGGGGACCTAGTGCAGGGACTCTCATGAAATGACATAATGAGAGTAAGCCCTTAGGGGGAAGATTTGGCTGGAGGGTGGAGGTGGTGAGTCCTGGGAGTCAGTGCCTCTGTTAACCATTCTTGCCTCCTGTCTTCCAGGCTTACAGCTTCGCCATGGGCTGCTGGCCCAAGAATGGACTTCTAGACATGAACAAGGGCCTCAGCCTTCAACACATAGGCCGGCCCCACAGCGGCATTGGTCAGTCCCTCCACATATACCCCCTGGCAGCTCAGTCAGCCCCCTGCCCGCATGCCCCAGTCCCCTGGCACACAGAGGGGTTCTGTGGCTCATCGTGTGCTCTAACGGGGTGCTTTCCATAGCTGGGGGGAGTGGGGAAGGAGGGTGGTGTACCAGAAAATGGAACCAGACCACTGGAAAAGATCTCTCAAAACACTGTTTAGGAGGAGACTGGGGTCTGGGCTTTGGGTGGGTCACAGGTGGCCTTGGATTCAGGGCAAGATGCCCCCACACCTGCCTGCATCTCTGGTGGGTGATGTCCTCAGAGGGGTGGGCACATGTCAGCTTACCCCCCCCAACCCCCCCTGTGGAGCTAGAGGAGGCTGTTTAATATTGTTTCAAGTCTGTGGCTACTAAACTGGGCGATCAATGGGAGTTAAGGAGATGAATTATTTAAACCTCACCAGCTTTTAATTAGTCGGGGTCCTTCTGACCGATGGCTCCGTCCACAGGGTATTGACTCCCCCGCAGGAGCGCAGCCTCCATTGAGCGGTGCCTGGGTTGGGAGGGGCCACTTGGGGTACCAGGTGGGGGTGCATCCTCAGAAGGATCCCTGCTTGGAGAGGGCTGGAGTGGCTGTGATTCTAGGCATTGGAGGCTCTGCTAACTTCAGATATATCAGTATTGGGCGGGGGTGTGAGTGAGTGTAATGATATATCTGGGTTGATTTTCCTGAGGGCATTGGTCTGTATATGGAAGCGACCATCAACCTGTATGTGTATCCACCCGAAAGTGTGTCTGTTCATTTCTGTGTATCTGATTTTCTGTGTGTGAGCACACGTCATGCAAATGCTTTCAGGTGGGGTACTTGACAAGCACAGGCTTTTGTTCCTGTGGGGAGGAGCAGGGGCGGGGGGTGGTACTCCTGGGAGGTGGTATAATCATAACCTGTGTACCTGTGGGGAGCTATGGTGGCAGAGGCACCAGCAAGATACACCAAAAGGACCCAGTCACCTGTCACAGACTAGCCCTTCATCCTTTCCACAGAGATCACTGGTACCTATTGGGTGCTGGGCATGATGAGTGGAGATGCTTGTCCTCAAGGAGGTCACATCCTAGGACAAGATGGAGACTGAACTGGGTACTAAGGGCTGTGATAGGAGTACCTAGGCTGTCCCAAGGGAGGATTCCCCTGTCTTCAGGGGCCAAAGTGACTTCTGCTCATTTATGTACATATCACTGACTTCAGGGATGCCATGTATCATTCTTGTTGGGACACCAGAAGGCCCCTCTGGGGTCCAGGATGAGGGAAAGAGGAATCAGTCAGCAGCTCTAAGGAATTAGGGGTACCCCACAGCAGCTGCTATTCCCTTCCGTAGGAGTTATCCCATACAACCTGGAGGAGACCCCAAACCTAGCAAGGTCATATGTGTGGGAGCTCAGCAGGAAGTTTCCTAGAGAAGAAAGACTTCTGAGTCAGGAGACCCTTGCAGGATGATCAGGAGTCAGCACGCACTGCCAGTAGTTGAGTCTCGTTGCCAGAGGGATCATGGGGCTGGATCGGCCTTGAGCTGGGTGCCCTGTGTCTGCGGATGTGTCCCAGGGTGTGTTTGTGAGAGGAAGAGCTTCCTCCTCCCTCTCTGTTAGGAATCCTGAGGTGTTCCCTCTCTAGGGGACAATGGGGTAAGTGCTTTGGAACTAGAAGTAGTTCTGGCTCTGCCACCCAGAGCCCTGTGACCTCAGACAAGGGACAGTGCCAGTGCCTCTCAGGGCTTTTGGGGAGATTCTGTGAAGCTGCCTATGTAAAGGGCTGTGCTGTGCCTGGCCCGGCACATAGTAGGTGCTCAAGCAGCTCCCCCTCCCCCATGGCCCTGCCAGCACCATGGCCTCCCCAGGGCCCGTGGGGTTCCTTGCACTGGGTCTTTGTATCTCTGAGCACAGAGGGCTGCCCTGCTAGCTCCCAGCTGGCTCTGAGGTGTGGGTGAGGGTGTTTGGAGGGGAGGGAGGATGCAGGGCATTAATTGGGCTGGGAGAGGCGGGGAGGGGAGGCGTTGGTTTTGAGCAGTGAGGTTAATGGCCCTCGCACCAAAGAGACAGCTTTAATGAGCTTCAGCTGGCGGTGCCCCGAGTTACTGTGCGTGCTAAAAGGGTCGCGCTGTAAGAGTTTGATGTGGACTGTTTCCCAGCCCTGGGGTCAAGGGTCAGCTCCTGTCACTGGCCACTCAGGCTGGTCCTCAGTGACATAGTGCTAATTAACTGTGTGAGGAGCTGCCAGCCTGAAGTGGGGAGTGGTATGCATATTGGGGGGGGGCGGCATTGGTGATGGGGGCCAAGGGTTCCACAGATCCCACAGCTTAGCCATCTCTGGGATCCGCTTGGCTCTCCCATGATGCAGTGTGGGGGTGGGTAGGCAGTTTCTCTGTGCGCAAATCACTGATGATCCTACGACCTAGAGAGAGCTCCTGAGCCTCTTTTTAAGGTATGGGTGGCAGGGACAGTTTGTGGGCCTACCTGGGTGGGCTGAGCGCCCGGTGTGGTGGTGCTGAGAGAGAGAGAGGGGCAGGCGTGCTAGAGGGTTGGGCGGCCAGCCCGGGGCTGGACGGTAGGCTATAGAAGGGGAGAGGGCCCGCTGGGATGAATGTGCATGGCTGAACTGTTTGCGGGGGAGCCGGGGGGCATCCTGGCAGAGCAGTGCCCTGGTCAGAGTTGGGCTGCAATTCGAGCAGTCTGAGAGGTTTCACGGGGAGGACTAGCAAGAAGAAACTGCAGAGGGGGTGGTTCTGTAAGGTTCATGGAGGCGACGGTTCATTCAGAGCCAGCAGGAGCCATGGGAATGGAGGCAGAAGACCCGTCAGTGAATGTTTACCTTGCACCTGTTATATGTGTCAAGAGCCGTGGTAGGTGTATTGGTGAGGATGTCAGAGTGCCCTGCCCCCACGGAGCTCAGGTACGGTCGTCAGCACAGGTCCTGTTGGCCCTGGCTGCGGAGGGAGAGGTGGTGGAGCTCCAGGCAGACAGGGGTGTCAGGGGCTGTCAGCTTGGCGTCTGAGTCAGGAGAGGGACATGTCCTCCTCGGTTGGTGGATTTGGCCTTGCGAGCCCCATGAACAGCATGGTGTGGAGCGGGGTGTGGGTGAAGAGGGACCACGTGTGGGGGACTGCTGACGCCTGGCGGTCCGCGGACTCCCGTCTGCACCCTTGCTGTGGACCAAAGGCTTCGGGGCAGGGCGGCCTCCGCAGGTGGCTTCGGAGCGCTGTGTGGTGCTTCTTGTGTTTCTGCAAAGGGTCAGCAAGTATTGGGGGGTGCTCTTTATTAACGTAATTTTCACATCAGTTTTATGGAAGGCAGGCATTAGCATTCCCGTTTTATAGACTAGGAAGTTGAGGTCACAGCTGGTTGAATTGAAGAGCAGGGCTCAAACCCAGGTCCGAGTGCAGGCTCTATGTTCTTACTGCTGTGCTGAACTAGGAGGCACCTTTTTGGTGTTGGGCTTTGTGCTACCAACAGAGACATGAGGAAGAACACAGGCTCACTTCCCTCATTTTCCTCAATCAGTGTGAACAGACAGGCCTTGACGAAGCCTTGTCAAGGAAGAAAGGAAAGGAGGCATTGCCACCCTTTCACACCTGCTACAGTGTCCCTCAGAGCCAGAGTCCAGCAACTCTTGGCTTCTGACCTCCTTCTGGCTCTGACAGTTCTTACTCTGATTTGTTTGCTCTCTACCTCATTCACCAGGAAAATCCTGCCCCCTTTCCAGGGGCCACCTCTTCTGGGAATCTTGTCCGGACTTCCCAGTGTGCATGTACAAAATACATCCTTGGACTGCACTCACAGTTTGTCAGAGGTGATGTTCAGGCTCTCCATACTTGATATCTCTAACAGCAGGTCCCAGAAATCTGCACAGGAAATGTCAGTAAAATCTCACCTGTTTTGGGGACATGGAGGCCCCACAGACTGCTGATTTCAGCTGGCTAAGAGAGTAACTGGAAACTTCCCTGATGCCCACTGGGTGGTCCTGCCCTGGTTCCTTAGCTCCTCTGCTCAGGGCCTGAGGAGGGTCCCTCTGAGGCTCATGGTAAGGAGGAACAGCCAGACACCAAGTGGACTCTCAGGAGGTCGTTGCCTAGCGTGGTTTGGCAAAAAGAGCTGGGCTGGCAAGAGGCAAGGTGGGAACCTGGCCCCAGGGGGGCAGTACTGGCCTGTGGTCTCCCCTGAAGGAGTAGGGTGTCTATCAAGAGTCCAGTCAGAGCACATTAGCTCTGTGACATGGATCTCATTAGCTCCCGCGAGAGGTGTCACTGCAGGAGAATCGTCGGCTCAGGGAGATGCTTGTACCAAAAGGAAGAAAGGACAGTGACAGCCTTTTCTCTGCCGCCTCTGCCGCCACGCTCCCTGGGCCGCCCGCCCTCCTCCTCGTGGGGGTGTGGGGGTGCTGGCTAATGAGCTCGTCTACAGTACAGCTTTGCTTTCCCCTCCTTGAAGTTCCCCAGGTCCCTCTGAAGACCTCAGGCCCGGGATTAGCACACACCAAACGCCAGCCCCCCTCTTGCCCAGCAGGGAGTTCCTTCTGATCACCCTGCTCTGCTGCCATCGGAGAGGGAAAGGAGGTGGGGCCAAGACAGAGCCACTGTGGCTGTCAGGGAGGGGGTTTTCACCCTTGGAAGGCTCAGGCCCCTCTTCCTCCCTTGACAGAGTGACCATGTTCACTTCTCTGCAGTGGGTTCTTTCTTTCCAGAGTTGCAGTCTTATCTTCCCCTCCCCCTTACCGTTGACATCTATCCAGGCAGTGCCCCATCCCTATGGGGCACCCTTCTCCCAAGGCACGGAAGAATGTGGGGACAGTGGCCGAGGGTTGAGCGGGTAGCATTTAGATCTGGTCTGATCTAAGGCTTTCTGGCTGAGCTAAGGGCATTCAGAATCAGCTAAAAACCAGTCTGGGCTTTGGAAGACCTGAGGGTGGTGAGTATTGATATAAGGCCCCTGCAGACCTAGTAGCCCTCTCCCTGGCTATCCCAGAGAGG